GTTGCATGTGGTACAGTAAGGAATGGTTCTTTAGCCCCAAAATTCCCAAACCTTGAAATCCTAACCTTACCAGAGAGCTTGATGGTCTCGTCTTAAAGAATTGACCCCATCAAAACATCTGTGCAAAAGCAATGAACAGACTGAAGATACACCAGACAAGCGACATTCCCAGCTGGTTTGTACCAGCGTTACCTATTTTTGCGGATGAGGAGCCGTTGGATGAGGGGCCATCGGGTGAGGAGTCGTTGGATGAGTTATACCCCAGATTTAGAGAATAGTTTCCGAATCCCACGCTTCGTGTCCAGCTAGGCTTCTCACCATTATTCAACACATCGGACCGTTCCACATCAATACTACCCAGGAAATCAACAGTGACCAGACCCTGAAGGATATTCCTCTCCGGGTCTCCGTTATAGAGCATATCGTTGCCGGGATCGGTATTCATCGAGAACCAGCCCTGGTACGTGAAGCTAGCTGACTCGTTATGAAACTTGAGGATAATTTGGGGATCTGTAACCTTCTCGTCGAGTCCTATTCCATTGACGTGGTCCCAGAAGGAGATGCCCCACCATGTGTCCGCGGTCACATTGCAAGAGCTCATATTATACTGCATATTGCCAACATTGCCTGCCGCATCATTTGTCGATCCTGAGATGTAGTATGGTTGACTAAAGGATTCGGCCATGGAGAGATTCCAATATACGGTATCCCGGCCGTCTTTAGGTTCATCATTGAGCCTGAAATTAATGAGTTAACAGAATGTTCATTTGATAGATAGAAGCCCTTGAAACAGTACGGACCGAAGGAAAATTAAGGAAAGGAAGGACCGTCTGTGTGTGAGAGAGAAGGGAAGGAAATAAGACATCTTGGTGCATTGAAGCGCTTATGGGCTGCGGGTTTCTTACTCATCGGTATAGAATTGCCACTCTAAACCACTTTGCATCGACGTCCCGGACCAGTGGTAAGGCGGAGTGAGATTAAAGGTTGGCCGCCACGCTCTCAGGAACACTCTCACTGGATTCTCAGTGTCGGCGTCCGGGTTTGTCTCAGTGATTGCAAGCAGCGAGTCGTATCCAAAGGTGATATTTTGTCCCCGGAATCTCGTGCAAACGTCATTCTCGTAGTCTTCGTACAGAGGTGTAAATTTGAATGTTGTTGTGCCATTGTAGTATCTGTCATAGAATGAGAATTAGTTGCTTAAGCAGATGTGTATGCGTATAGCTCTCTATATCTTATGTTTTCCTTCTTCTCCCTTCTCTAGTATCGATGTTGATTTAAGCCTCAATGAAACAGTCGTTCCCTTACGATCCAACCCAGGCATAAAGCCAATACGTCAAGTCCGACACATTCGTGGGCCTGAGGTTCGATGACGGGTCATATCTAGCGTCTTCCTTCGCATGGGTTGGAGAGAGCGCGAGTGATAAATGCAAAAGGATGAGGGAAATAATGCCCTGCATAGTTTATTTTTGCAAATCTCGGCTCCGACCTTGGATTGTGGAAGATGTGCACGTGTCCTTTCTGGATATCAAGGTAGGGCAAATTTGGAAGGAAACGCCAACATTGTGTGGTGCTCGGAAGTATGAACGCTATTTTTTCAAAAACGTGCCGGAAGGTGGACTTTTAACATCAAGTACTTCGTACGGGGAAATGAGAATGACCAATTAGCCAGTGGCTTTCAAATGTAAAACGCTCGCTGATTGGTGGCTCCCGCATAAAGAGATTCTCGGTTGGAATCCCCCACGTGCTTGTGCCAGCGTCATCATCATGACCAGATCTGGAATTTGATCCGGCCCTTTCTATGCATGTCCTGTGGATGCCTACGGCACAAAGCCATAATTGGACTTTTTGGCCGATGGCCACCTGCAATGGAACTGAAATCATCGTGGGCTATTTTAAGTAGGTGACTGCCATTAATAGCGACATACATCCTGGAGGGAAAACAGGTTGGTCCTCCCGACGAGTTTGCCTAAATCATCGTCTAGGGGGAGCAGAACGTGGCGCTCTGGTTGGTCTTCGGTCTCTTGTATCACTGTCACAAGGGATCCTAGGAAGACGATGCAGGGCTCATTGTGTAGACCCTGGGAACATGGTGAGGAAATGCTCTGTATGGTGGCCACTCCCAGCCTCCGCTTCTGCCATCTTTTCTGCGGCAAAAAGGCGATGGCAAGACGAGATGTCACATTCAGCATATATATAAATTTGCACGACGTATTAGCGGAGTGCGCATTCCCTTTTGACGGAGCTGGAAATGCGACACGAGACGACAAAAATGCAAATCGCTTCCTTAGTCTAATAGCAGCGGGGGTCGCCCCTAGCAGCATGATTTCCAGTTTTGTCAGCACTTTATGATAGTTGCCACGCGCAGCGCCCCCTCGCCGCGAGCACCCGTGGGAAAAGGAAACCTTGCCGTATAGAGAACTGATTTTTTTTTTAGGCTGGCCGCTGCTATCATCAGCTGCATCTGCGAGAGCGCGCCGCCCCCCCTTCCCCAAACTAAAAGGGAAAATCGTTATCAGCTGGCAGGCGGGCGGCACTGGCGGTCTAAGACATGAGGCATCGTTCGGACATGAGGGCAAGCGAGCCTATGACGATGCGGGAGGCCTTAGTCTTTTCCACCGAGGTGTACGCGGATCGAAGTGGCCGCACATCCCTACGAAGCGTTGCGTTTCTTTTCTCTTCTGACAACATCTCCAGGGCATCATCCATCTATCGGTGATTAAGGCAGGTATCTATTTTCGCGGGATCGCTGGCTCGCTCGCGGGGGCCTTGTCCGAACGCGGCATGCCATGGGATTCCTATATCAGACGGCGGGCGAGAGAGAGAGAGAGAGACCCCTCAGTGTGATGAAGTAGGTGCTAATGTTACTCGTTCTCGGAGGTTCTCCTCAAAATGGAAGGACTCCACCTTCTTATTTTAGAACCCCTGTAAAACATCTTCCCGGGTAAAGCAAAGCCGCATCGGGTCAGTGGTGAAAACAGAACTTAATTACCTGGTTCATTTAGTGATCAAGTTGGCTAAATTCTTTATTAGCCAAGGCGATGAAGCGAACTGTGAGTTAGTATGAGAATAATGTGCTGCGAAAGAAAGAATTGAACAATGATAAGCGTGACCATAGAGTTTTGAATGACGGCAAAGTGTGTTGCAGACAATAAGATCCCTCGAGCCGCCCCCAACCCTTATTGTCAGACGGATGATTTCTAAAACTCATCTCACTATGCATAATATCATATGTATGGAACAACATACCAAGATGAGGAACATGATATAGACCAGAGCCAGGTCCTGAACTAAAATCCAATAAGCCCCTCTTTATACACTAACAGCGATGCATAGAGCCAACGCCATACTAATTATCAGAAAGTTTCCCAAACCCAACCTGTGCCTTGTTCCAATGTTTGTTTCTGTAGGAGCAATATCCGGGAGCGAAGCACTTGGCGTCCCGTAATAAGTTACAGTATGAGGCTCATGAGAGCCGGTTTTGAGTTCAAAAGGGAATGTCGAAGACGAAGTCAATGTCGAAGGCGACGTCGTCTTTGGCTCTGGCTCTGGCACTGATACCGTTTTATTACGCTCCCGTTGCTCAGAGACAATGCTCGATGGCATCGGTGCGACACTGAAGCCTTCCTCGCTGCAGACATCGAAATAATCCACGTACTCGATCACGCTCACTTGGCCCGTGACATACATACAATATCGACAGCTGGAGCAAATACGTAAGCGGGTCTTCTCAAGGTCTGGCCGCAGGAACTTACGCCCTGTTCGTTGAAACCCATCCAGATTCACAGATACATTCGTAGTATTCGGCGCCGTTTTGATCGTTGCAGTCGCGATCTAGGTTGTTGAATGCGCTACAGATGGAGTCGCTGCCCATGCAGTACTCGTACGGCGACAGGTCCGAGGATGCCGATTCTCGGGCGAACAAAGCCAAGCCCACGTCCATCTTCGGGTGTTGGTCTTCCAAGCCTCTGTTCTTGGGGGTAGTTGACTGACTCTTTGATGAGATATCCTTTCGGAACGCGGTGAGAGGAGACGCTTGTGGTGATGAAGGAACAATCAATTTCTCCCGCTTTCCGAAGGCCCAGCCTGGAAGAACTCATCAAGGTGTTGGCTTTCAAGCGCCGAAACAGACACGATTTATGCCTTCGGGTTTCATGCCTATTTTAGACGGCTCCGTCCAGGTTGACACTAGACCGGTGCAAAATTGCACCGTCTGATGCCCTCGCTCGACAACTCCTCGTTGGCAATCTGCCTGATCAACAAAGCTATGGCGGAAATAGGAAATGGCTCGCACGCCAAGCAAAAGTCAGCACTAGGCTGCTGGGATCTGGCTGAGTCAAACTTGTGGACAAAGAGCCCTGTCACCAAATCATGCATGGCGGGGTGGAATGCACAGGGGGGAACTGGGCCGAGGCCGGTCCATAGTTAGACAGCCCCAGTGCAGGCTGAGGAATGGACAGAAAACCAACTTGTGTCCCGCAAGTCGTTCAAGTCAAATCAACGACCAACACTCATTTTCGCCATGGTTGACCTAACCATCGGACAAGTTGCAGCTATCATTGCATTTGGTGCCGTGGTTGGTGAGTGAATTTCAAAAACTTGTTTTTCGTATGACATTTGGTTGACAAGCGATTCTAGCCCGTGTGTGGAGTCCGACGTTGGGAACTTTTATCCTTGCCGGACAGCTTCGCGATCGTGAAACGGCAGCTACATGGTGAGTGCAGATTCTCTTCTTTGCTGCAACGCTATTTCTAACCTTTGGCCGATCAAGGACTGTTGCAGCAAAACACCTACAAAGCTCATATTGGCCGCTTTTGCTTCGATCTGATGCAATCAAAGACCGCGGAGTCCGTCGACCCATCGTTGCCATCACATTAATACTGCCACTGCTAAGTTTGCTCATCGCGATAGCCGGTGTTGTAACTCCCCTTGGTCTTTACGAGTCGAGTGAGCCCAAGTCCGAGGCCGTCAGGGCTGACTTTGCGTACGTTCCGGATTCAAGCACTTTCTATGCCGGCACATCCACACGAGATGACAAACCTTTCACGCGAACGTGTAGTCTCTACAGTTGTTATTTCCCATGTCCATACACCTCGGATGTGACGGTCATTGCAGAAGATGGTCTATCAGAAAACTGTAGTTTTTCCGGGACCATCAACGCAACTGTCCCCGATATTCTCCACGACATCTATTCAAGCGGCACGCAATACGAGAGAACCACTATCTCCAACTACTTCGATATAGAGTGGCGCCAAACCACGACGCAATACTATCGGCTTCTGAACAATGGCACGCCAATCGCTGCTGGAATCTTCCGGCGCCTCGAGACCATTGCGCTTACCGATGATGTGCGCGCTGTTGAAGGATTGGTCGTTGATGCAAAGAACGGCGGGATTGGCTTCAGAAACCATACTCGTCCGTCTGGCTATCCTGGAGGCGTAACATGGACGGAGGATCTTCTGTTCTGGGAACCTGACGTGGAGTGCGTTGACACGAACACCACCATCGACTTTGAGGTCACGACGAGCTCTCAAACGAATACCGGTCTTACAATTTCCAAGCTGCGTCTTACAGACAGGGGTGGCTTCGTTAATTTCAACACGACAGATCCACTGGACGATCAGCGTAATGGTGTGAACAAACCTGATCTGAGGATGAGGGCGTATCAGGCGGCATGGGCTACTAATGCCTTCTCCATGCTCTTCATGAACATTTCGAACGCCATGGAACCGCGAAAGAAGAACAAGCCTTTTGAATGGATCAACTCGGAGATTGGGAAACAGTTCAAAATCCCTATCTCGATGGATGACACGAGATACCTCAGCCTCGATTTTATCAGCAACTTTGGCGACCATCTTGCGGTCCCGTCGATAATCAGCGACACTGACGGATTATTTGAGAATCCTTACAACATTACCATTGATTCATTCATCGCCGCAAGTGAGACTCGACATATCCGCTTGGTGTACGGACATCGCTAAGACTTGCTTTAGGAGACTTATGCCAGGGCACTCTATTTGATGCACCCACCAAACTGAACAACACTTTTGTTCTTTGCAACCTGATTCGAGGTGTTCCACAAAGAGTAGACGACGGGCCAAATATGATATTTGAGGACAAAAGTCAATGGTCCTCTCCGTTATACGCTTGCGCTTCAGCCGTGAAGGGTACGGTTAAGAGTGTTACGTTTTTCCACAATGGAACAAACGCGACCATCGACAATCTTGTGGTCAGGGAGATCAAAGACAAGGAATACGCTACAGAAGATGACATGCCGTTGTGGGGTGTCGAAGACTCTTCTCTCAGACTTGACAAGTTTTCACCAATTTGGGGCCTTTTGCACCCAGCGTACGAGAATTTCCAAAATATCTCGACGACCCGTGCCCCTTCTCTCTACTTTCTCGGATCAGCGATGAGTGGCTGGATCGGACGGGACCTTGATCCACAATTCACACACATGAACCTACCCGCGTCGATTGTCCCCACTGCTGCTTTTCTTACGATTCCTTCAACGATGGATAACACATTGTCCACCTACGATCTCACAGGTCAAACAACCATGAGTCTGTGGCTAAAGTGGCGGGAACTCTCGAGATCTGCAGACTCTGCATCAACTATATTGAAATTGATGTGGACTGACTTTGCGTCTTCAGCTGTTGTAGGGACCAAAGGTGTCCTTGGTGAACGGAATGCTCAGCCGAATGAGCCGGCAGACATATCTGTCATTCCATTGGTGCACAGGATACGATATCACTGGCGATATGGCATACCTGCCTTCCTCGTGCTTGGGTGCATGGCGTTCATTGCGGTCGTGGCGGTTGCATCAGTCGTGACTCGAAAGTCGAGCCTCGAGACGCTGAATTACCGCCTGAAGCAGACATCGCTTGGTCGCGTTCTGACGACGTTGGTTGACCCGCAGTCGAGTACGTTTGCCATGACTGCAGCAGATTGGAGCAAGCTCAATGCCAGGAAGGATATGGACCTGGGGGTGAGACAACCGATGCTCGCACCGGAGCCAAAAAAGCAAACGCCATCGGGCGGGAGCGAGAGCGTTTCTGGAATGCCTGAAGACCAGATTCTACCTCAGGAGTACCAGCCTTTGCAGGATCATGAAATTCTAGAAGCGAAGCATGATACACAAAACAGATAAGGCGGTTTAAGAGTCCTGGAGTATCGATTCAGCAAATGCAAACAAGACATGCCAGTGTCCAGCGGATGTATAGAGCCAACCTCGTTCCAACAAAGCTCCCGTCGGACACCGGAAAAGCCCGCGTCGATTTACCTCACACAACCAGCATGGCCGACGTTTTCGGCATTGTCGCCGGCCTTTTGAGCGTTGCGGCCCTGTTCAACTGCGTCAACTGCTTCGAGTACATGGGTCGAGACTGCGAACGCTGCCAACTAACTGGATTTGTGCGTTATCTGGAGAGGAAATTGAGGTGGATGAGCCCAGCTTGTTGGCTCTGCAGGATGCTGCTGCTGGTTCTAAAAGTGTCGTATCAGAGGCTGTAGTGCAGAAGGGTGAAGGAGTCACTGGAGGGAATTATGTAAAGGATATAAAGAGCGAGGAGGATGCGAGTGCTGGTCTGAAATAAATGTAGCGACAACATTTTAGCGCTTGGTTCAGGTGTTGCGGATCGGCCAACGCCCGGGCGGCGGGGTATCTTCCAACAATAACTAAGGTGTTTATTTTTTATGCCATCGGGAAGAGGGGGCTGAGAATAACGTTAGCTAGTTTACTGTTGACGTTATGTTAAGTCAGATATATGTAATTTCTTAAGATATCCACTGAATAATGGCTTTTTAAGACTTCGATATCCCAATGCTATTACCCTTTACTTTGCAGACCCCCACTAGGTCTAGTTGGAGGTGGTAGTAGCAGTTAGAATTAAACTTACATCTGTTATTGATATTTAGTGCCTAGTTTTGCTTTCTTAACTAACCGCTACTAATATATCTTCGATATAACTAAATATAAGTTAAGGCTTGATATATCCTCTATAGAAGTGTATAGAACTGGGCAACGTCTTATTATAAAGAGTAAGTTTTCTATACTGTCCCTTAAAGGGCAGGGTTTTCTAGCTAAAGGTGCACTCGATCGAGTTCAGTAAACTACGATTAGTCTTAAGCTTAAAAATATGCTTTTAAATTTAAATGTTGATGTTGGGGAAAGCTTGGAAGTAATTGACAGTAAGGAACCTTAACACTCGGTAACGTTATTTAATAGTGAATGCCTAGTCACAGGCTCGTTTCTAGTCAGATGCAACAGCATCAACGTGGCGTTCTGAAAAATCCTCCTCAAGAATGAACTTAGATTTGAATCACGAAGCTCTCACTAACCCCTAAGCAATGGCTCCTACAGCATGATCTGCTCCATTACAAGGGTGCTTGCTTACTTGATATAATGAAAAGCGGCTGGCATTGCTACCGGGCCATACTAAACACCTTGTAAGTGCCGTGGCTTGCAGAGGTGGGTAAGACAGGTCACAGACCCAGGCCTCATTTCTTGTGGCTTCCCATAGCCTGATTTTTTTCTCTTTCTTTTCCTACCTTAAAATGCCACAAAAGCGTTCACTTGTTAAGTTCCTTCAAAAAACACATACCGTCGTTCAATCTCCCGTTGGAATAAACCTTCTTGCAACATTAAAGGCATGAGCAAGGGTGAGCCGAAGGACGAGCATAAGAATGGCCAGAGGGATGAGAAAAAACATACATCCAAGCCCAAGCCCAAACCCAATGACGAGGATCCGGATGAGGCCAGTGACGACATCAAGGACAGGACCAAAGACGAGCCCAAGGCTGAGCCTAGGAGTGACCAAAAGAATGAAACTAAGAACGAGGAAAAACAAGAGGCCAAGAAAGACGAAACGAATCACAGCAATTGCAAATGCCCGACTCAGTGATACGTGAAGAACCAGTCTTGGGCCTTGTGCTTAAGACTGGCATTATATGTAACATCACGTGAGAAAGGAGACCTTATGCTCCCGTCCTCAACTGTGGTCTTGGCTCGTCATCCATCTTTCTACATCTACATGACAACCTCACTTTATGTGACCTCCGCGATAATATTCGCATCACATACAAGCTCTGTTTTGGAATGGAACGCTGAGAATAAAGGCGCTATTATAGTCTATAGCCCTGGACTTTTGACTCATTTTATTTTATAAAGGAGTGTGTTAATACTTCCAACCATAAAACCCAACCACGTCTCCATCCACAAATGAGTGTGTCGATACTTCCATAGTTCCCTCCTCAATACATCATCGCCAGTCATACTTATCTTCACCATTTTTTGTTTCCTCATATCCAATTCCAAATCATCTCTTAAAGAGTCTTGTTCAGAACCATAATATGACCTGGAAACCAGGGGCCTAGTAGTTATTGCCATAGCCCTTGCCATAGCCCTTGCCATAGTCCTTGCCGTAGTCATTGTCATGGCGGCCGTAGTCATTGTCATGGCGGTCCTTGCCGTAGTCATTGTCGTGGCGGTCCTTGCCGTAGTCATTGTCGTGGCGGTCCTTATCGTGGCGGTCCTTGTCGTGGCGGTCCTTGCCGTGACGGCCTTTGCCGTAGTCCTTGTCGTGATGGTCTTTGCCGTAACCCTTGTAGTGACCGTATCCGCCCTTGGGAGGATCATAGTGGCCATACTTGTTTGGAGCACCTGGCTCAGCCTTAGCTGCATGAGCAGGGGCAGGGACGGCCACAATGGCCGAGGCCGCAGCGGCAATCATAGTAATGAGAGACAGCTTCATTTTGGAGCCAAATTGGTGAGAGGATCTTTAAGGAAGCAGGAATTACAAAAGGGGATTTTCAAGAGGTATTTTTCAAGAGGCAAAAGCGCTCGATAGGAGAAGGCAGGGTTGGTTCTGTCTGTATGAGCTTGGTGATAGAGATTAAAGATTTAGACTTGAAGAGGAGGGAAAGGGCCTCGGCTTTATTCACGGAGAACCTCCCATTACAAAACCAGATGAATTGAGCAGCTTCATGTCGCCATTCCTCACAGATCTGGTCTAATAATAAAATGGCGTCTATCTTTAGGCTTCGGCAAGTCGAGCCCCGAAGCCTGGATGCTCAGACGACACAACTCAACGCTATACCAACCTCTGCAAAGCATAATTGGCATGATTTTGCTGTTCCTAGGAGTGTTCTAGACCAAAGAAATTCCAATTTTCAACCCGGGCGTCTCATCATCATCATCAATTCGTCATTTGCAATGCATAGTGTTGTATTAAACGGTGGCTTGGCCTCTCTGACTTGATTACGCTGAGACCTTTTATTTCTCGTGTTGCCCCCAAAGCGTGCAGACACCACACAATCAATTCTATATATAGTTCTTTTATGAAACCGTATGCAGTGATAAACTTTAAAATGATGCTTGAATTCTACGTTACGGGGTCGGTCGATTTGTTATTTGGCAAACGGCTATATACCAATCATTATGACAGCATCTGCACTAATTCGATATAATTTGGTAACGGTTTTAGAAAACCAAAGGCGAAGCCGTCTGTACACTGCAAATTATAATTCGACTTCATTTGGTTGGCGAGACTGGCGATTGTGATAGCATCGCCGCTTGGCTATCGGTCTTATTCTAAATCACTCGAGCTAATTAACTGTTGTCCGGCTAAGAACGGCTAGATTGGGGAGTGGCTTCAATTGCAAAGCTGGCAGAGCGTTTTCCGATGGGAGCAAACATGGCGGCTTCGTGCTGAACCCAAGTAGCGTCCGCTTTCAGTATCCAACCTAACCGTAAGCTGTAATTGTAACGGCATCACAACAGCATCAGCTAAGAAAAACAACCCTAGGCGGGGCGCTAGAAGCCGGTAGCGGTCGTTCACCAGGAACCAAGGGTTAGACTTTGCTACCCTCCTCTTGACCAGACTGCAGGCCAGTGATCGGAATGGTCTGGTCTGGTCTGGTCTGGGGGGTCAGACCAGACCAGACCAAGCCACTTTGGTCTAACCGGTCTATCAGACCGGTTAGACCAACAAGACCACCAAAGAGTTATGACGAGATCACGTGACTTTTATATATATTGTACAGAAAAGGTATTTTACTAAATGCTAATTATCTATTGATTCTATTGTTGTCATGCCCATTATGGTCGCTGTCACTATCACCCTCAACAAGATTTCTCTGGGGTCATGGCGGGACAGCCAGTACGCAATGGCCTCTCACAACCTGGCTCATCGTCCATCGAGTCGCCCGGTACGGAGGACCATTTCAAAAGTTATTGCCTGCCAAGACGCTAGGATCAGCCACGAACAGGGATTACGACCACAAGCGAAGGTACACACCAAAATCCTTCCGTACCTTTCCCCTCTTTGTCAATCTTCCGTTTTCCCCTCAATCTGACCGCCTTCAACAGCCAAAAATGCGGAAAAAAACAGTCATCACAACCCGGGCTCTTGTAGTCGTCCTGAAGAGCCCATCCGGCGGGGAAATAACAGCTGAAGTCACAGAAATAACCGGTCTTTCAGTACGTACGATTAATAGCATATATACCCGGGCTATTAAACGCGGGTTCGATCCAAACCACCATCCATTAACCCTCCGTAACGAATTCCTCTGCGATTCCGACCGTCCCGGGCGTCCCAAGAAGCAGATGGACGAGGCACGGATAGAGATTATCGCCAAGGTGCGCCGCGATTGATATGGCAGAGAAAAAAAGTGCGCTGATATTGCGGGTGATCTTGGCAGGGATGGTATTGAGATTTCGGCTGTTATTGTATGGCGAATATTTAGAAAAGCTGGATTCTAAAAGATAAAGCTGATGAGGAAGCCTGGATTAACGAAGAAGATAAGAAAGGAATAACTAGAGTGGTATTTTTAGTATAGCTACTGGACTTTTAAGGACTAGAAGAATGTTATTTAGTTTAATAAGATTTTTATTATTTTACTCTATTATTATAAAAGCTATTATATATAGAGGAAGTCTAATAAAGCTTTTATTTAAAGTTATATTTAGGAGTAATAGAAAGATATATTTAAGTTTATATTCTAGGGCTGTTTTTCCTATAATAAAAAAAGCGCTTATTACTACTAGGGTTCTGAGATTATAGCTAAGAAGAAAGCTACTAAGAAAGCTATTATAAAAATAAATAAGAAACTTAAATCTATTATATAAAAAGAATAGGAATTTTTAAATAATCTAAAATAACTTTATTTTTACTAATTATCCAGCCTAAAGCCTAACTAGTAATAGAATAAGCAGTTTAAAAAGCTAATAAGAGGTAGTAAGAGTAATATTAACTAGTATTGCTATTAAATTTTAATTTTAATTTTAAAGATATTTCTTTTTACTTTAGAATATACTAAGAACCAGCTAGGTATAATTATTTAAAAAGATAAGGCCCCGGTATATAACTACTATATATAGTAATAATATTATAATCTAAATAAGATTAAGTAGCTGCTTTGGTATTTGAATTTACCGGACTTTAATATTATAGAGCTAGCTTAGCTATAGATAAAGAGATAGACTATAAAAAAGAGGGCCCTAAAGTTACAGTATAAAGCAGTTAAGGCCTAGAAAGCTACTTAGGAGGAATTGCTATAGGAAGCTATCCAGGCTTGGATTAAATATATCCCTTGTTATATTAAGAAAATTATTAAATTGGAGGGTGGAAATAAGTATAAGAAAGGTCAGATAGATCTAAAGGTATATTAAAGAATAGCTTAATATATTATCCCTGTTAATTTGCTTTTTCCTGTTATACTAGTATTTGTTATATAGGCAATAACTTTTGAAATAGTCCTCTATAGAGATATATTATAATAGAGACCGAGCAGAAAATAAGTAAGGTTATAAGTAAGAGAGAATCTAGAAGGAAAAAGCAAAAAAGATACAATCTAGCTATATTAAGCTAAATTTTAGCTACCTGCTACTACCCCCCTCTTAAACTTAACCTATTTATAGTAGACTATTAAGGACTATTAAGATTAGTTAGATTATACTCTAGAGAAATTATTAGATTAAATTAAGTCTTAATAATTTAAATTAAATTAAGATTAAGTT